AAAATTCTGTCCATCTGAGGAAGGCAGTTGTAGCACAGTAGATAAGAGCCTGTGTTTGGAATTAATCCTGGCTTGGCCACTTATTTTAGCTCTGTGTCCCCAGGCAAAGGACTTGACCTCTCTAAGCTGTATTTCTTGGTACATAATAGGATCTAAGTCTTGGGGTTGTTTCAAGCCAGCAGTTAAATGAGGAAATGATAATTATAGTTAACATTTACAGAATACTTTTTTAGCTGGGCGTATTGGCACATACCTGTAGTCCCAGCTACTCAGGAGGCTGACGCAGGAGGATTGCTTGCGTCTAGGAGGTTGAGGCTGCAGTGAGCTGTGATTATGTCACTGTACCCCAGCCTGGGCAACAGAGCAAGACCCTGTCTCTTAAAAAACACACACACACAACACTCTGGGTATAGTGGCTTACACCTGTAATCTCAGCATTTTGGGAGGCTGAGGTGGGTGGATCACCTGAGGTCACGAGTTTGAGACCAGCCCGATCAACAGGCAGAACCTCATCTCTACTAAAAGTACAAAAATTAGCTGGGCATGATGGTGCTCACCTGTAATTCCAGCTACTTGGGAGGCTGAGGCAGAATTGCTTGAATCCCGGAGGCAGAGGTTGCAGTCAGCCAAGATCATGCTACCGCACTCCAGCCTGGGCGACAAGAGCAAAACTCCATCTCAAAAAAAAAGAAAGAAAGAAAGAAAGAAAGAAATTCCTTCCTTTTGGCTGTGCCCAGTGGCTCATGACTATAATACCAGCACTCTGGGAGGCTGAGGCAGGCAGATCACTTGAGGCGAGGAGTTTGAGACTAGCCTAGGCAACCCTGTCTCTACTAAAAATACAAAAGTTATCTGGGCATGGTGGTGGGTGCCTGTATTCCCAACTACTTGGGTGGCTGAGGCATAAGTATTGCTTGAACCCCAGAAGTAAAAGTTGCAGTGAGCAGAGATCCCATCAGTGCACTCCAGCGCCTGGGCAAGAGTGAGATTCCATCTCAAAAAAAAAAGAGGAAAAAGAAGAAATTCATTCCTCATGCTGAGCATGAGGGGGCCATCCTGGACTTCCCCACCCATTAGGCCTGACTTGCTTGCATGGGATCATCAGCTCCTGCCTCTGAAAAAAACAGCCCTCAGGTGTTTAAGAGGAGGGAGGGTCTGTCTCCTCTTTTGCACCCTCCAATTCCTGACAATAGGGGTCAGTCCCTCCCAGGCTTGATTTTGAGTTTTCTCACCTTTTGGGGAGTTGTGAATTCCCCAGGGAGGGGAGCCCTCCATGTGCAGAAGAGCGAGGGCTGATTAACAAAGGGCCTCAGGAGCAGACTGTTACAGATGAGCTCTCTAACAAGCTGTCACATTTCAGATCCAAGCCTACTCAGTCCATCAAATGCACCATGATCAATACCAACCTTGGTGAGCTCCCCAAAGAGGCTGTAGTGGGGGCCTACGTGAAAGTGCATACTGTGGAGGAGGGAGAAATTTTGGTGAGTGTGCCAAGAGCTTTGTTCACCATGGAGCATGTATCATGAATGGGCTGGAATATTAACTAATAAGAGTAAAGGTTTAAAAACACTTTCCTCATAGCCAGGTGTGGTGGCACATGCCTGTAATCCCAGCTACTTAAGAGGCTGAAACAGGAGAATCGTTTGAACCCTGGAAGTGGAGGTGGCGGTGAGCCGAGATCATGACATTGCACTTCCAGCCTGGGTAACAAGAGCAAAACTCCGTCTCAAAAAACAAAACAAAACAAAAAACTTCCTCCATATTTGATGATATTAAGGAATTGTGTTGATTTGTAAAGGTGGGATAAAAATAGGCTGGGTGCGGTGGCTCACACCTGTAATCCCAGCACTATGGAGGCTGAGGTGGGCAGATCACAAGGTCAGGAGTTTGAGACCAGCCTGGCCAATATGGTGAAACCCTGTCTCTACTAAAAATACAAAAAGTAGCTGGGCATGGTGGTGTGTGCCTGTAATCCCAGCCATTTGGGAGGCTGAGCCACGAGAATTGCTTGAACCTGGGAAGTGGGGGTTGCAGTGAGCTGAGATTGTGCCACTGCATTCCAGCCTGGGCAACAGAGTGAGACTTTGTCTTGAGAAAAAAAAAAGAAAGATACAGTGAGAATATTGTGGCTGCCAGGCATGGTGGCACGTGCCTGTAATCCCAGCTACTCGGGAGGCTGAGGTGGGAGGATTGCTTGAGCCCGAGAGTTCTGGGCTGTAGTGTGCTATGCCGATCGGGTGTCCGCACTAAGTTCGGCATCAATATGGTAACCTCCTGGGAGCGGGGTACCACCAGGTTGCCTAAGGAGGGGTGAACTGGCCCAGGTCGGAAACAGAGCAGGTCAAAACTCCCGTGCTGATCAGTAGTGGGATCGCGCCTGTGAATAGCCACTGCACTCCAGCCTGGGCAACATAGAGAGACCCTGTCTCTTTGAAAAAAAAAAAAAAAAAAAAAAAGAATATTGTGGCTATGTTTTTTTAAAAGAGTCCTTATATTTAGGAGATACATGTCAAAATATTTATAAGTTAAATGATGTGTTATCTAGACTTGCTTTAAATGAATCCAGGAACAAGGCAAAGATATTCCCTCTTACCACTCCTGTTCAACATTGTACTGAAAGTCTTATCTAGTCCATTCAAGAAAAGGAAATAAAAGGTATACAGATTGGGAAGAAAGAAATAAAACTATCTTTGTTTGCAGATAACATTATTGTCTATGTAGATAATTCCAAACAATTTTTTTTGAAAAGAAAAACCTCTTGAAACTAAAAAACCTCTTGAGATTATAGCAAGGTCACAGGATATAAGAATAATATACAAGAGTCAATTGCTTTCCTTATACCAGCAATGAACAATTGGAATTTGATGTTAAAAAACACAATACCGGCGGGGTGTGGTAGTCCCAGCACTTTGGGAGGCAGAAGCTGGCAGATTACTTGAGGTCAGGAGTTTGAGACCAGCCTGGCCACCATGGTGAAATCCATCTCTGCTAAAAATACAAAAATTAGCTGGGGCTGGGCATGGTGGCTCATGCCTATAATCCCATCACTTTGGGAGGCCGAGGTGAGTGGATCACCTGAGGTCAGGAGTTTGAGACCAGCCTGGCCAACATGGTGAAACCCCCGTCTCTACTAATAATACAAAAATTAGCCGAGCGTGGTGGTGCCCACCTGTAATACTAGCTACTTGGGAGATTGAGGCAGGAGAATCACTTCAACCTGGGAGACGGAGGTTGTAGTGAGCTGAGATTGCACCATTGCATTCCAGACTGGACGACAAGAGTGAAACTCCATCTCAAAAAAATAAATAAATTACTTAATATTTTTACGGAATCTGATTTCTAAAGAATTCAGTTTCTAAGGAGTCCATTAGGAAAAGGCTAAATATTGCATGATTCCTATTCTAGGACATTCTGGAAAAGAAAAACACTATAGAGATAGTAAAATTATCAGTGGTTGTGAGAAGTTTGGAGTTCAGAAGATGGGATGAATAGTGAAGCACAGGGGACTTTTAGGGCAGTAAAAGTATTCTGTATGGCACTGTAATGGTGGCTACAAAAGCATTTGTCAAAACCCATATAATTTTACAGCACAAAGAGTGAATCTTAATGTATGCAATTTGTTAAAAAGAAAAAAAAATCATCTAGGAGGTCAGTGGATCCTAGGAAGGAATACAAGCTATGACAAGATAATCTATTACAAACGTATGAAACAATCTCTGTGAAGGAGTTGGGGGAAAAAGATGCTGACCTAAGTAACTATGGAAATGAGTGGAGTTGGTAAGACTAAAGCAAAAGGAGTGTGCTCGAGCACTGTACCCTACTGATAAAGTTGTTTCTCATGAGGGTATGGATTAACAATACTTATACTACTATACATGCACACAGTGTTAACATTGAAATCAATCAGTTCAGTAAATGGATGGCAGAGGGTGGGAGCCAGGTTTTTCACTACTTAAGCAGAAATGTTTAGAAAGGGGAGGAGCCTAGAATGCTCCATGTGGTAATGGATTAGAATTGAAAACATCAGTAGACACTCAAGTTTTGCTCAATATATACTTATAGACAATTATGTATAGAAATATTTCTAGATGTGGGGAGAAACATACAACTATTTTGCTCTGTCAGATAAGAGGGCCTAAAAGAAATGATACCCTTCTAGCAATAAGCACACTTAACACTTGGATCTTGGTTTCTTTCTTTCTTTTTTTTTTTTTTTTGAGACAGAGTCTTGCTGTGTCACCCAGGTTGGAGTGCAGTGGTGCCATCTCAACTCACTGCAACCTCCACCTCCCGGGTTAGAGTGATTCTCCTGCCTCAGCCTCCCAAGTAGGTGGGATTACAGGCATCTACCACCACACTAGGCTAATTTTTGTAATTTTGTAGAGACAGGGTTTTGCCATGTTGGCCAGGCTGGTCTTGAACTCCTGACCTCAAGTGATTTACCCACCTCGGCCTCCCAAAGTGTTGGGATTACAGGCATGAGCTACCATGCCTGGCCTTCTTTTATACTTTTTAAGAGACAGGCTCTTGCTCTGTCACTTATGCTAGAGGGCAGTGGTGTGTGATCATGGCTCACTGTAGCCTTGAACTCCTGGGCTCAAGCAATCCTCTCACCTCAGTATTCTGAATAGCTTAGACTACAGGTGTGTGCTGCCATGTCCAAATAATTTTTTAATTTTTTTTGTAGAGGCAGGGTCTCACTATGTTGCCCAGGCTGTTCTTGAACTCCTGGCTTCAAGCAATCCTCCCACCTTGGCCTCCCAAAGGGCTGGGATTATAGGTATGCACTATCATGCCTGGCCTCCATACTGTTTTTCATAATGGCTGTACTAATTTATATTCCCACCAATAGTGTATAAGGGTTCCCTTTTTTCCCACATCTTTGCCAACATTTGTCATATTTTGTCTTTTTGATAGTAACCATTTTAACAGGTATGACTCTATGTCATTGGATCTTCAATTTGCATTTCCATGATGATCAGTGATGTTGAGCATTTTTCATATACCCATTGGTCATTTGTATGTCTTTCTTTGAGAAAAGCCTATTCAGGGTTTCTGCCCATTTCTTAACCAGGCTATTTGATTTCTCAAGACTGAGTTGTTTAAGTTCATTGTACATTTTGGATATTATCCACTTATCAGAGTTATGGTTTGCAAATATTTTCTACCATTCTTTAGGTTGTCTTTTTACTTTGTTGGTTGTTTCCTTTGCTATGCAGAAGCTTTTTAGTTTGATGCAATCTCATTTGTCTATTTTTGCTTTTGTTGCCTGTGTTTTTGGGGTCATACCCAAAAAAACCATGGCCCAGGCCAATGTCAAGAAGCCAGATCATGATTTGTAATACAATTTCCCAATAAAAGGAACAAGCGTTCTTTGGAAGAATGGTGGAATCTAGGACTACGGCAGGAAATACACAGGATGAGTCTAGAACATATTTATTATAATGTCAGAAAGTAAGGAAGAGCTGGGGGAGGGGCGGGAACTACTTTATTAATATGGGAGTATATCCAAGGGACATGGGGGCCAACTACAAGATCTCCTAATGCCAAAGCTGGAACAATTTGAACAACAAAATAAAGCAGTATTGGATTATAACAAAAAGTACAAAATAAATATCTATGAGTGCATATTGATATAAATGAATGAATAATAAATTAATAAATGGAGGAGAAGAGACAAATCTCCCTGAAGAATAAATTTCAAACAATTTATGTAGATACTCTGTCTTAAAGAAGAGAGCCTAACTCTCTACTTCTTAAATGTGGGCCATGCATAGGACTTCCTTCCAAAGAGTACAGTATGGCAAGTGGGGAATGAAGTACTTTACAGTGGAGAAATCTAAAAAACACAGCCAGGTCATCAAGGCCAACATCAACAGTAAAACATTGTGTTGATAGTATTGTCCCTTGATAGGATGTGATGAAAATGTCACTCTTCCTCTGTGGCCATCCTCTCAATATCTTATAACTCCAGTCTAATCATGAGAAAAGCATGAGACAAATTCTAACATTGTGGCATCCCACAAAATACTCAATGAGTGTTGGGCATGATAGCTCATGCCTGTAATCCCAGCACTTTGGGAGGCTGAGGTGGGCAGATCATGAGGTCAGGAGTTCAAGACCAGCCTGGCCAATGTGGTAAAACCCCATCTCTACTGAAAATGTAAAAATTAGCCGAGTGTGGTGGTACACGTCTGTAGTCCCAGCTACTTGGGAGGCTGAGGCAGAAGAATCGCTTGAACTTGGGAGGCGGAGGTTGCAGTGAGCCAAGATTGCACCACTGCGCAACAGAGCGAGACTCTGTCTCAAAAAAAAAAAACAACAAAAAACCTCAATGAGTACCCTCAAAACTGCCAAGGTCATCAAAAATGGCCTGAGAAAATGCCACAGCTAAGGGAAATCTAAAGAACCCTATTATCAAACATGATGTTGTATCCTGGATAAGATGGTGGAATAGAAAAAGGGCATTAGGTGAAACAGG